GAAAGTGAAAACTTTAAGAGGATTAAAATAGTTTAAAAAGAAAAAAATAAGTCTTTTAATTACAACAAAACCTTTATAAACTTCTTACCTCAAAGGTTAAAAGGATCTTCAAATATTTTATAATAGTTTTTTTTCTTTTGAAAACTTTCTTACTATGGATATCAAAGATATTATTTGACTTTTTTTGACTATTGGAAATCAAGTTTTTGGATAAAGAGATTTATAAATAATAGGAGAAAGATAAAGATAACTCTTGAAATCAAACTTCAAGTTGTTTTAAGAAAAATATTAAGACTTTATTAGCAAAGAAGTAAAAAATTTCTTGTGAATATCTTTTTATATACAATTAAAAAATCAGCAGAAAGAGTTTTTGAAAATATTTAGAAAAATAGAAATTAATAGAAAAAATAAATTTATATATTTTAAAAGTACTATTGGATTTACAAATTTAATAAATTATCAATTTTTTAAAACAAAATATTTTAATTAATATAAAAAATTCTTTTTAAACATATCTTTCTAAATATACATTTTTATTATAATTTTAAATTAGAACAATAATTTTAAATATCTTTTATAAGACTATTTGCTAAGTTGAATAGAATAGACGAAATTGAGTTAGTTTTGGGGGTATAATTAACTTTTTTCTCTAAAAAAGCTTAAAGAAATATAAAAATCAAAATTATTATATCGATATACGTATATTTTTTAATTTAAAACTCGTCTTACAGAAACTTCGATTTAGACAAATGTGTTTTTATTGTTTCTTAAAACCGTATGCTTTTTACTGCTTCCGAAGTGACCTGATAGAAATGCATTTTAAGTGACTATGTGATTGGCACCAGCAAAACTGCTCGCGGAAGGACGCGGATAGATAATCTACACTGAGATGATCTGAACATCGTAATTTCGCTTGTACCCTTGTAACAAATTCTTTATCTTCTCCGGAGCAGGAAGAAAAAATCATGCTATTACGTATGCAATTCTCAAACGCCTCTCGAAAAACATTTCTAATATGGAAATATGAATAATATGTATCGATATGATGTCATATGACATACAAGAGAAAAATTTTCGTATAAAAATGCTTCTTGTCGAACTTCCTGTTATAAGATTTAAGAAATATGACCGTATTCGAACTTTTCCCTCAGAGGGTTCATCGTAGATCAAGTGTAGCAGCAATCCCGCAAGGTGTTTACCTTGGTTTAGAGCTTGACTACAACGAAGAAACTCATAAAGTTGATTATGCCATTTGCGCCCATGACGGATCTTATGCGATCGACTATGAGTTTTCATCGGTCGATGTAGATATCGAGGCTATTAAGAATAATAGAGATAATATAGAAAAGGTGTTGACTGTTATAATCGAGCATATCGATTCTTATGCTAAAGCCCAGAGGTACAAAATTCATGCGATTGGAATTGGTGCTCATATAATAAGAGAAAATGGAAATGGAAGGACGAGTATAAAGAAGTCCTTATTCAAACATCCGAGCTTAGCATCAAAGCTTTGGTTGGAGTTGGATGCTATACCTTTTATTTTTGGCACCAAAGGGAGTTCTGTAGATGAACGCGCTAGTTCAGCCGTGAGAAAGACTATTGCGCGGTAAAGACTGTTGAACCCTTTTTACTTGTCAGTAATGTTTTAATAATCCAAAATACTGTATTTGTCATTTAGAATATCTCCTCAAACTCCTGGTTCGATTCCTAGTATTTCCGTTGGCTTCAGACATGAAGTTGAGGTTGACTTGAACGGCACGATCAAGTTAGTGGATTTAGTGCATTACGAAAAGACCGTTTGTCCTGAAACTTGGAGAATACTGAATGATATCGCCAGTGAATTAAGAACCAAAAAGATTAAAGTTTCATTCTTTAACGCGACTCCCCAGGGTGGTGGAGGTAATATTAAATATTAATTAAAGGAATTTATTAAGCGTTCGAAAATTTTAACTTTGAAGTTATTAGTTGCATTAATGCGCCACGCATTAATAAGATTATGCCGTCTATTGGATCTGGACATTCACTGGTATGTGTCAAAACCAAAACCAGAGATTTTTGATATTACGAAGAGAAAGTTTCATAATGTCTTACAGGTAAGCTATAATTCGGTCTTAATTAATTATTATTTATTTCATTTATTTATTTATTTAAAACGAAGGGTGTGGCTCCACCTGATGTAAGATTGACCCCAACCGACAAGGAAGATTTTATAACTTGGTCCGAAAATAATGCTAAGAGATTTTGGTCCGAAAGAGCCGAAAGAGATGTTTCAATTGGAGGTCCAATTGAGATGAGTGATGTCATTATAATCGATGATCCTCAGGGTTGGTAGCATTTTGTTACTGAATTTATGCACAGAAATATAATATTGATCATTTCGATAACTTTAGTGTGCGGTATTATTCCACATATAAGGAAAAAAAATCCAACTTGCAAAATCATTTATCGGAGTCATATAGAAAGTACGTAATAATTTCAAAAGAAACTTTTTGAATCATTCCTTGAGATCAATTCTCAAAGGTCTATGTCATAGTTTGCGCGGATTTAATCCGTGAAAATCCTAATGGGCCACAGGCAGAGACATGGGACTTCTTATGGGGCTTCATTTCCCAAGCTGATTTATTTGTGTCCCATCCGATACAGAATTTTGTTCCCGATATTGTTCCTAAAGAGAAGGTATGCTAAACTTGGGTCCAATTTAAACCCGATTTAATAAAAGTTATACTTATTTGTTCGATTATTGATAGGTAGTACTTCTTCCAGCGAGCACGGATCCATTAGACGGGTTAAATAAAGAATTGAGACCTGAAGACAAACATTTCTACAAGATGATTTATAACCGATTATCATTTGACCAATGTGGTATAAAAATAAATTTCAAAAGACCATATATTATTCAAATTGCTAGGTTTGATCCAAGCAAAGGTAATTACAAAATAATTTATTTATCAAATGAGTGCTTTATTTAATCACTGCAACTAATTGAGAGTATTGTTTGCTAGGAATTCCTTTATTGATCGAATCGTTTAGAATTTTTCGTGAGAAATTGAAAATAGCCGGTTGGACTGATGATCGAATGCCTTCGCTGATAATTTGTGGTCCTGGTAGTATTGATGATCCGGATGGCACACCGATCTATGAACAAACGAACGATTTATTGCAAAAATCAGAATATAATGATATTACAGATGATGTTTCGGTTGTGCGTTTGCCTCCATGCGATCAGATACTTAACGCTTTATTGCGTGATGCTCGTGTGGCGTTGCAACTAAGTACCAGGGAAGGATTTGAGGTTAAGGTCACGGAAGCTCTTGCTAAAGGTACATAAATCAATGATATAAAAAATTTTTTTATTCATTATAATTCAAGTTTTTATTTGTAATTTTTTTGGAATAACAGGCATTCCTGTGGTTGCTTTCAAAGCAGGTAATGGATACCTCTTGTTTTGCCAATCTCTATCCTTCGTTCTAATAATCTTTTTTCACACTTAATATATACAGGAGGAATTCCTTTACAAATAAAACATGGAGAAACAGGTTTCTTGGCTGATGTTAAGGATACTAATCAAGTAGCGGATTATCTATTCACATTATTCACTGATGAAGAACTTTACGCAAAAATGTCATCCGCTGCACGGTCCACATTAAATGAACAATATTTTACCGTATTTCAAACATTGAATTGGTTATATTTGATTCGGCAATTCTCTCGTCAGAAACTTTTAGAATCAGGTTTGGAAACTGATGATTATACCGAGTTGCAAACGAAAATTGTTGGAAATGGGAGATGGGTGAAAGAGCTCTGGGCTGAAGAATATGGGTTCGAAGAGAAGAATAAGGTTTGTAATGTGTTAAGGTTCTTTTTATTATTATATTTATATTAACGCTTGGTCCAATACTATTAGTTTTTTGATGAAACTGTCAGCCATTCTGTATCTCAATCTTAAAATGTTACTATGAAATTTCTTATTCTCTTTTTAGGGAAATTATTAACATAATTTATATTTTTTCGTGCATTTAAAATCACATGATATTATCCTGATATCAATAACAGTTTTGTATTTTTAATAGATAATTTATTTTCTATCTCAAAATATAATATATTTAACGCAATAAATTTTCATGAATGACTTATGGTTCCAAAAGTTTGAGTCAAATTTCAACTTTGACAATTTTTAAATCTTTAATTATTCTCAAAAATTATAAAATTTACATATATTATGTTTTAATACTTATTTTATTTTTTATATTTTTTAAATATAAAATTTTTATAGTTTTATTATTATTAAAAAAATTTTTTTTACAAAATTTTTATTTTTGAATAATTTTGATTTTTTTTTTTTTTTTATAATCCTAGGTCAGGTTAGGTACATGTGCTTTATTAAACATTTGTATACTGTACATTTTAAATGATTCGCTAAAGCTAAGACTTTACTTAACTCACTCGTCACTGTTTTGTCTTGATATATCAAAACTCTAAGTGCAACTTTAGGAGTGATTTATTACTCCGCTAATGGTTCAGGTGAATACCCTTCCAACCTTTAATATCATTGCCCGCAGATCACCACTGCAGATCACTATCTGTTGTTCTGACCAAGCTTAAAACACAATTACTTTATTTCATAAGTAACACCTTTGAGTAGAATTTTTTTCAAGCTTTCATTTTTTTGAGTTCTTATCTTTGATAGAGAATCTTTACTTTTGGGGACTAATGGTTTTAAGCTGTATGTGCCTAAGGATCAGTTGATTTTTTCTACTCTGCGAATCCCTTGTGAATATTTCCATTCAATTATCTTTTCACATCTTTTGTTTTAAATATTTTTCCTTATTTGGTCGTACACTCTTCTTTGCATCTTTGATATCTATCTTCTTGCCTTATTACCAATTCTTTTTCCATGGCATTTTAGATTTGCCATTTTTAGGATTAGATCTCTCTCTACTAGCCTTGTGCAAAAACTTAGAGTGTTCTGACTGGTTTTTGAAGTCTGTTCTACCAGTTTGGAGATTCATTTATTCAACTCAGCCATTTCTTCTTCATCTTGGATAATTAATCTTGCATGTTTTTCTTCTGCCTCTTCTTTCCTCTCTTGTAAGAGCCCTCTGAAGTCTTTAAGGATTCCATCTTGTCCTTTATTCCATGCTTCCTGTAATTGTTTTTTGTATACTGGACACTCTAGTAAATGTTTGAAAGTTTCACTTTGCTGACTATATGCAATACACTTCACTTGTTTGTAAAGGTCAGGCCTTCTAGTTGTCAGCTTGTTCAGAGTTAATAGCTTATCATTCATTAGTTTTATGAGAAAGTATTTTCATTGCAATTGTTTAAAGGAAGTGTCCCAGGTATGTCCTTCTTTCATTCTTTCCCATACAAGGTCCCAAGTATAATCTTGCTGTTTTATAATTTGGTGGTTTCATCTTTTTTCAGTTCTGTTTTATTGTATTCACTGAAAGGTGGTTGTTTTATTGTTTACTTTTTTGACAAACTATCTTATTGGATCATCCAATGTCTTTTCTTACCATCTAATTTTTGTGATGATCTTATATGAGGTCAGTTCTTTCCATTCTATTGTCGGAAGTTTCAGAGCTTCTTTGGCTAGGACATCTACTTCTTCATTGTGAGGATTATTGAAATATGTCTTAACCTTGATAAGTTGCAGGTTTATGGTCTTTTTTTTTACCAATTCTAACATTCGTGCCCATAGGGACCAGTTTTTTTCCTTTAACCATCTTTTGTAAGTTTGCTTTGGATCTTCTCTTTCTATTGTTTTTCACTTGGAGATATAAGCCTGGCTATCTATATGGATTTCCATATCACTACCTACTGGAACCACCAGAAGTATTGTAACAATTGCTACAAGTTCAGCATGTGTTGAGAAGAGCCAATTGTCTACTCCTATCTGAAATCTACCTTCTCTACCCATATCTTCTATCTGGATCCATGTTGCTCCCATTTTCATTTCTTCCTTTCTATGATTAATAAGTGATCCATCGAAGTAGAAGATTAGTTTTTTAACATTGGATCTCAGGTTATATTGAAGTATTTCTATTAGGTAGTCCTGATATACTTCTTCTATAACATTGTCTTTAATGATGACCTCTTCCCATCTTTCGATATCTACCCAATTCACTATATTGATTGGAGCTAAGGTTTGAG